ACGGCTCACCCCCCTCGGCCGCTCGCAGGCGCTTCTCCAGCTCCACGCCCCTGAGCTCCAGGGCGTCCAGCTGCCTCTCGATGTCCTGCACCTGCCTCTGGATCTCCTCCTGGGGCATGTAGTCGGGGTGCAGCTGGGGAGGAAGGAGTGGTGAGGGTTGACGGGAGGCACTGGCCCCAGGGGTCTGAGCCCCTCATCCACCTGTACCCCGGCCTACTCACCCTGACGGGGGAGGTTACTGACGTTCCAGGTGAAGTGGGGGCACCAGCCGGGCCCAAGGGCCTCCCTGGAGAAGGGGCAGGACACGTCTCTTCAGGTACCAGGCCCACCGTGACCCAGACGTGGTCACACGCACAGCTGGGCCCACCCAGCCCTGCCTCCCCAGCATGCCCCCTGCACCCCCGGCTCCCCTGCCCCGCCCAGCAGACAGATCCAGGCCGCACCCCCACGGGGTCCCCACATCCACGCTGGCCCCTGCCCTCCTCCAGGTCGGCAGCACTGCACACCCCGCCAGCACCCTGGCCCCCATCCCACGAGCTGCCAGGAGCAAACGCTTATCATCGCCAGGTGTGTGACTCAGGCACTGGGAGGCAGGTAGGGCCCTCTGTCCAGCTCTCCATCCCTACACATTGGAAAGGCCGGGCGCGGACCCAGATCCTCCAGGCCTCCCGTCCCTCCTCAGACACGGGGAGCTGGGTCACCTCCAGGTGTGCGAGAAACTGTCCACTCACCGCATCCTGCCTTCCCTCCAGTCTAGGCTCCATGAGCTCCTATTCACCCTCCAAACCCCACCTGGGCATGCCCTCCTCGAGGAGCCCCTTCACCTGCACCCAAGCAGAAGTGCAGCAGCATCCCGGGCTGACCTGGTCTGCCCTGGGGAGGGGCTCTCTCCTCCTTCCAGCTCTGAGCAGGGCCTTCCTGCTCCACGGGCTCAGGCCGAAGCCAGTTGCCAGAAACGTCCAGGCTGGCAGGGACTGTCAGCTTCCTGCGGCGGGAGGCGGAGGGGGACGTGGCTGCCCGCGGGTGGGAGACAGAGCTGCGTGTCAGGCCAGCAGGCCCGGTGCCCTCTCCTCACTGCCTCCCTGAGCCTGGCCCACCCGAGGGACCTCATCATGGGGATCGGCCCACACAGCCTGTACCCACATTCTGCCCACTCGGGTTGGGGGGGTACAGGGGCAGAATCCTGACTCTCGATGGCCCAGGCAACGAGCCCACTGGGTTGGTGACCTGCTCAAGGTCACAAGGAAGGAACATGGGGGCAGGACATCCAGGGGCGACTGAGAGTGCTGGGGACAGACACGCACACTGACACGTGCCCATGTACAGGTGCACATACGCACACATTACACACAGACACCCACCTGGGACCACCAGCTCCTCTGGCTGAGCAGGGCCACTGCCCCCAGGAGAGGACCCCCAGATGCAGGCTGCCCGGCTAGGGAGGGCCAGATGGGCTTCTGTCCAGCCTTACCTGAGAGGCTGGCCCCGGTGCCAGCCCGGCCCGGTGTCCTGTCCACCTGCACTGGGGTCAGGGTGATGCAGACAGCCCCCTCGGAGCTCC